GCAACCCATCGAAGGCACTTGGCAACCGTTTATAAAGCAATGGCGGCCGGTAACTAAAGAAGACTACGACTTGCTCCTGAACCAGCACTTCAACCCCCAAGAGACGAACTCGAAAAGAATGCACGAAGAAGAATACAACGACTTGTACAAAATCGCGGTCCTCGGCACAGTTCCGGATTCCCGCTCCTGGTCCCAAAAAGTCAGTCAAAAAGTGTTGGAATACGCCGCCGTGGCCACCGTAGTCGCGGTGCTCCAATACGGGCTTTGCTCACAGGGCTTCTGCAAAAGCATACCGGGTTACTGCAGCAACATACAGAGCTACTTGACCGGCAATGGCTCCACCACTGGCGACAGCACCGCCGTGGCCCCGATGGCCCACGGTTTGTACCAGGCGCAGACGACCGAGGCCCCGGGTCTTATGCAGGGTCTGGTGGACACCTTGACTACAGCGGCAGGGGGCCGAACTGGCAACGTGGCGCCGGTCAGTGAACTTAAGGAGACTGTCCATCTCGCTGACGCTGATATACGTGCGGCGATCGAAGCTGATTATTTCCCGAAGGTGATAGACGGCGTCGTTGTCAAGTTCCCACGACACTTCGGCAACGTCGCGACCTTGACGGAGGCGCGTAACGATTTGACTACAGCGGTAGAGAACCTGGTGATGACCGGTAAGCCCATGGAAACCAGCAACCTCGCTGCAGCTGGCAACTTTACGGAAGCTGACAGACTGGCGGCAATGGTGTTGTACCAGCAGCTGCTGTCCGACAACCTCTTTAAGACGTATTTGGAGGTCACGAAGCAGGATGTTGCGGCGAAGTTTGCTGAGGCCTCGATCGACATCGCGCAAACAGCGGCTAGAGATGCGAGGGGCGCTCTTATGGACGCAGTAAAGACGGTTTGCGAGAAGTGGAATATGGCTGCTACGGACTTGGAGGCAGTTGCTAGGGGAGTTCCTACTGAACCGAGTACATTCGTGTGTCACAAGCTTCCGACGATGAGCTTCGCCGAGTTGAATAGGCCTGGTCTGTTCGTGGACCCCGGGACTGGATGGGACTTGCAGCGGTTCCGAGCGTCCTTTAGCAGGTGTGTGGACATGGACTTCAACCCGGAGACGACGGACATCTGGCTTGGCGCTTTGGGGTCAGAGTGGGCGCCTCGCAACCGGACGTGCGGCCGCGCTAGGGAAGGCACTTTGATGTGCCGCGGCTTGGGAGTAAGCAACCCACAGTGCTTTGACTTTGAACCCCAATGGGAGACCTATCCGGGCGGCCTGGGTTTCTTGATTGACATGATCGATCGAATCTTTCGTCCCACGGGCGACGAGAACTGCGTTGTCCGTTGCGGTGGTTCTCACGCGCTAGATACACCGACAGAACTCTGGCTCAAGAACGCCGAGGAACGAGACGCGGTCCGAAACGCTATGAGCGGCCGCATGGACCTCGGCGATGCGTGTACCCGGAAACAACTCGAACACTTCGTGCAGGTCGTTCAGAAAATGTATACACGAGCAATCACGCGAAAGTACGCGCCCGAGATGCTAGCCTACCGCGCGGAAGAGCTCAAGCACGTCTGGTACAGAGCGCCCTGCGGCACCGGCATCTGGAAACCCGGCGAACCCCTCCCCACGTGCGCGTGTCCAAAATTTAGCATTTCTTGCGAGACTGACAACCACTTCAAAGTCTCCCTCACGGACACCAACCATGAGGAGCCTGAAAGGACTCCGGAAAACGTGTTCGCCGCTATCCCCCCAGATTTCAAGATCAAGCGTTGTGCATACCAGTGCCTCACTAAAATCTTTGCCGACGCCAACACAGCGGCATGATCAACCATTCTGATTAGTCATTCTTGCAGCCAAGACATAAAGGAAGACCAACGCTAGAACCAAGTTCCGTAGCTTGGTTGATGGCAGCACTACTACACACTTTTTTGAACCTTTTTATTACCCAGCGACACACACTTCATACAAAACATCGAAGGTCAACGCGGCGAGAAGAGGTGCGCGACTGACTGAAGGCTGGCTGGTCCACGACAACGATAGCTTGAAGGATGATGGGTGGTGTTACGGCGCACCCACCCACACCCCTGGTGGAATTAGACTCCAGAAAAAGATAAAAACCTGTTTGGCGCTGTCTTTGCTTGCGTGGCCGTTTCTTCCCCAGCGTGTGCGTCTGGGGATGCTCTTTGGTGCGTTGGTGTCTGTAGAGCAAAGACACAGCGACCAACACTAATAGGAGGGAAGCAGGGTTCAAGATGATATCAGCGTTTCGGGGGGATGACACCCAGGCACCAAGGGCAGAGAGACCGGGCATCGCGGAGGACGGTATGGTCGGCACTAGTCGGGCGGTAAGGAGGGCGAGTAGGGTGTAAGCAGCGGCGAAGGAGACGACACCGATCTTCGCTAAGGCTCGGAGTGCAACGTACCGACGTTTGACGCACCAGGGGATCAACAGGCCGAGGAGGGACAACAACAACAGGGCGCCAGGATTTCTCATACCGCTTGCCGTAAGACTCTCCCTGTCTAGTGTTCGCTTACTACCTTTTTGGTAGGACGTGTTGTTGTGTTATGTGTGCGTCGGTGTGTGAGGCGAGGACCCATCGAGCGTCGATGTCTTTAGTTCGGTGGCAGTCAGTTTCTTAGAGGCAGGACGTGAGTGGTCGCCTTCTCTTTGCCGGCGCTAAGTCGGTGCGTACACGTGTCGGTGCCAAGTCGGGTATGAACTTGCGCAGGTAGGCCTAGAAGGTGTCGAACGCCTTGACGTCTTGGACTTGTCGCTGGATTAGCTACCTGTGAGTATCGCCTCTGACTGACGGACAGTTATTGGTTAATCTGGCTGAGGGTGAAAGATTCTTCGGTTTCTTGAAGGGCACTCACCCTGGAATCGCATTTCACTAGGTCGGGATCTTGGACCAGTGGTAGGTCTCCGTGATGGGCGGCCAGCCTTTCGCTGGCTAGGTCGACGGCGGCGCCTGACTATTGGAGTGCGGGCAGCCCCAACATCGGATACTTCATCATGGGTGTCGGTAGGACGTAGAAGTACGGTTCAACGACCTGACCATTCACCGACGTGTGTGATGCGAACTTGCGAATCGCACTTGCTGTATCCGCCGACACCTTTGACTTGTAGTGGAGGCCAGTTGCAGAGGACCGCGTTTATACCTTCAGGTCTTTGAGCAGTGGGAACATGTTCTCAGTGTCTACCATGAACGGCAGTAGACGCCGTGCGACCGGAAGTTGCACATGTCGACAGTTAAGGAGGCGGTTTTCCTCTTGGGCCCCCACGAGTAGAAGCTCGGCAGTTTCTACTTGTTCGGCTTTTAGAGGTTCGTCGCTGAACGTGGCTTCCTCGTCTCGGTCGCCCCAATGGCTCTGGTGCGCTGTACCATCCCGTTTCCGTACTCGACACTGCTTGTGGTAGTAGCGGGATTCCTTCTCGAATTTCTCGTTATAGAAGTTCGCGAGAGTCCGTAGCACTTCTCTGTTGTTTTTGATGTCGTCTATTCTCAGTTTGAATGATCCTCCTGGCTCGCGGTGAAGGAACGCTTGGCGAGTGCCTAGTGGACCGTTCCTCGTGATCTGCCAGCAGTCGTCTTGGAAGTGTCTCCGCTTATTGCAGTTGGGGCACGCGGGCTTCGTAGGGCACTTAAAGCTAATGTGTTCTTTGGAATCGCACCACTTGCAGGGACGGTCTGAATGGTCAGCGGGCTCCTGCTGTGGGGCCGGGCTGATGGCGTGAACGGCGTTGTAGGCGTGCGCAGACGAGGTTGATTTCGTCGCAGAAGGGGAAGAGGTGCGCGGCGAAGGCGTCCACGAACTCTTGGAAGGGGAGATTCATGAGACCAAGACGGGGAGACCTCTCCGGGCTATGAGGTCTTGGTTGACGGAAGTGGTTTTCAGGATGATAACCTCCGCTGGAGAGGAGGTCTTTGATGAGGTGGCGGACTCTTTTCTTTTCTTGTCTGCGTCGGACGAGGAGAAGCGGTCGAAGATGGTTCCTCCGCCGTTCGAGAGGACGTCTTGATGGTTGATGATGAGCGAGGGACCTGAAGATTGAAGGCGAGTGGAGTTGAACCCCCGGAAAAAGATAACAGCCTGTTTGGCGTTGTCTTTGCTGCGCGGCCGTTGGGTCGCCAGGGAGAGGCCTCCTCCAAACCACAAAAAAAGCTCAATAGCTGTTACGTCATTACGTCATAGGGGTGGTTGCGGCAACTGGTTTGGCGGAGTAGTGGCGCGATGTGTGACGGTGGCGGTTCGACACACCCACTAAAGGCAGTTAGTTGTCTGGAGAACTCCTTCAAGCCAACTGATAGCAGGAAACTGGAGGGTGGACGACAGAGAAGTCAAAGGAGCCACCCGGGCTGTCAAACTGTTGGCCTGTCATAATTGGTGAAGTCAGTAAGTGACAACTCAAATTCGTTCCGAACGGTCAATCAAAATT